CCAGAACTACAATCAATGACGTCGAAGTGTTGCGCTTCCATGTCAATTGGGCATATTTGGGGTACCAGAAAGATTTGCCTCGTTCTCAACAGCTATTCGATTTTTCTCTGAAAAGTAAATTGCGCCATGGACTACATATCGATCCAATGCAGAATACACTTTGGACCGAGTTATTTGGGTGAGATTAGGCTCAGATATCGACGAAACCGTCTGACTGTTGCGCTTCCTAATACAGGACTGTACCTCTACTTACGTTCCCGCGCACGACTTGCACTCTGCGCTTACCCTCGATATAAACCTCTGAATGTATCCAAGACCTCGAGGTCGGCGCTCCACTTGTCAAATACAGACCTGGGCTGAACAAAATCGGATGCAGGCAACGGCTGGAGGAATTCAGATGAGGGCACGTATATTTGAGGAAATTCGGACGTGCGGCCTTGGAGAAATTCGGACAGCGTGGAGGTGAAAGACGTCGCAATGCGAGCGGGCATGAACTTGAAGGAAAATGGATCAGGGATCAAACTGGGTTAAAGCAGTCAGTAGGAGGAATGTTAATATTGTTGCGACAAATTTTTGAATGGAGATTGAGTTTGAATCGGGATTGAGGTAGCTGAACCAAGGAGGACTTTGAATCGAACGCCGTTGATATTCTAGTGTTCAAGATCCAGGCAACAGGCGCGTCCTAACACCGCGAAGAAGGCAAACGCAGACCAATCAAAGGAATGCGGACCCCAGTACACCGAGTCCGTTCTAGCCCAGCAGCTGCCGCCAACAAAATGCCCACGCCGCATTAAATTAGACCGATTGCAGATGCGGAGCGGTTGGGTTTCGAACTGAGACTGAACTCTGAGGGCTAAAAGGAAGTCAAACCGAGACCACGAGCTGGGGAACTTCGGACGCACAAATATTTGGAGGAAGTGAGAAGCACGGGCTTTTGAACGAATGCGAAGGATGCGGGCGGACGGATATCTGGATGAATTCGGATTTGAATCGGGGATCGAGATGGGTTAAACGAAGCAGGAGCGTGGAAATAAAGCAGGGGCGGGAGGAAAAGCATGGACGAATGGAGGGATATGAATACGGCGGGGCGGCGGACGTTTAGTCTTGGATTGAAGTTAGTTCATAGCGGGTGAGGTGGATTAAACCGCGACAAAAGAAGGGCTCGAAATGTGGATTAGGAGGATTGAACAGTGATAAAACAACTCAGACATCCACATAACTTGACACACGTCCAGTCAGGTTGACCACCGAGTCCACTGAATCTGGATCCGCGAATTCGAGGAGTGCACCCAAATCCATCCCAGATCGCCGCGGTCGCCTATGCCGAATTGAATTGGACCGATTGGAGTTGTGGGGCCCTTTGAATCAGGATTGCGGTTGGGGGGGTCAATTGGAATCGCAGTGTGGGTGGGGTGAGAGAAAAAGCAGATTGAGTCTGGAGGACTGCGGGTTAAGGTTGGAAGTCGAAGGAGGAGAGGCGCGGGTTGAGCCCGGTCGTTGAGTTGAACCCGGAGAGGAGCGCGTTGGACTGGATTGGAGCCAGGGAGGAGGAATGAAACCGGGAGAAGGAGCGAAAGAACGAAACTGAAGACCTCGAACAGGAGTGGATTCGAAATACCAACACACGTTGAAGTTGATTGGTACTACAGAATGGCAGTAGTTCGGTTTAAGATATGCTCAAGATCCCTTCAATAATGATTTCCGTTGCTCTGCGTGTCTACCGCGAGCAGCCGAATGACGAGGGCGTATCTTCGTTAGACGTGCCTACGAGAGCGATTCGGTCTTCGTGTTCTTAAGATTGCTACACTACTAGTGACAAGCGCTTAGCTTTGCCTCACAGTAGCTGTTGGTGAAGCTTAGATTCACACGAAGATTACTGTTCAAAGTAATGGATTGAGATAGAAAAAGATGATGCTCACATGAGGGGGTATTCTACAGTATGAGTCATGTAGGTCGGAGATGAGGCCGAGGTGTAGTCATGGTCGGGATAAGCCCTAAGTACTTGTCATGCTCGGGGACGAGCCCGAGCTAAATAGTTGAACAATTACGTGAATGCGGGGTTTCGGCGAGTGCGTTGAGGTTTGGATTCCATCACAACACTGTGTCTCGCCCGGGTACAGCAACACCTTCCAGTAACGGAATTTGAACTTGCCACGCTGTCGTCAACCGATTATATCGAGAAACGAAAAACATATATCTAGAGAGGAATGCACGGTGCCGACGCCACAGAAGACTCTCCTTATTCCGCACAACGTTGACAGAGAAGTGGCACTGCCCTCGGGAACAGGTGCTCCTTTCAAAATAGACTTGAAGAATACAGTCACAGGAGCGGAGAAGAAGTCCGCACAGCCCTTTTCTGACATGAAATGGACTAATGCCATCGCCATGGCTTCCTGTGCCCCTCTCCGCCACCAGCAAATTATTTCAAGTCGGTAGCTACCTTCCAGTGCAACACTTCCCGTGTCCGGATCCAGAACGAACTCGGAAGCTGCCCGGGTAAGATCCGTGACGTCATTCCTACCCCGCAACCCCAAATTCAATTGACGAAAAATCACATGGCACATAATCACATGGCACATGCCAGCATGACGGGCACACGCTGTCACAAGACGATCGGCGCGTTTCCTCCCTTTTGTTTGTCTTTTGTCCTCTTGTCGCAGCCGATGGATAGCATGGCCATGATGCAGCAAAATGAAAACGGTGAGTCTCAACTCCCATCGCACGCGCAATCAGCATGGTGCTCCCATCGATACCATACTCACTCTGTCTCCTAGCCGCAATCCCAGAGCTTGAAGAGTCCGAGTCGACCCCGGATTATAACGAGGGCGCGGGGTAAGAAGAAGAATACATCCTCGACCTGGGCTCGGGCCTCGCCGAGTCCGCATGCCCCACACCTACGCCGTCGTACTTCAAGCGTCCGCGCGGATCCCCACCATCCACGAATCCGCGGCGCAGGAGCGGACAGAGAGACAAAGAGGCGGAGCGCAGCTGTGGGATTTGGTGCGTTCCGTACCCTCTGTTTGCGTGCATTCGATCTGACTTCTCCTTGCCTCCTTCCGATCTGACTCACTTTGCTTTCTTATGCGTACCGCGCGCTTCCCCTCTCTTGCAATATCCATCGCTTCTCCCCTCGATCCTCAATCCTGATAACAATTTACGCACGCACCCAGCTTCGATCCCGCCTCCTCCCCCGTCCGCACCCTCTGCTGCGCGCACCTCTTTTGCGCGGACCACATCGCGCAGTGGCTCCTCGGGCCCGCCGCCGACGGACGCTGCCCCGCGTGCCGCACATCTTGTTCTTTCGCATTTGGGGCGGACGACACCCTTGTCGCCAAGGGCCAGGGCCTGCTCGCGCTAAGCCACCCCGCCCTCCTGCCTCTGCACGTCCCATGCACGCCCCCACCGAGCCGCTCGCCGTCCCCATCCCCGTCTCGCTCCTCCGATTCCGATTCCTCCTATTCCGAGTCCCCAGCGCGCTCCTACGCGTCCTACCCCACCTCCCCCTTGTCGTCCTCCGTCGACCCCACATCATCTTCGGAGGAAGAGGAAGAGGAAGACAGCACAGACTACTCCCTCCCCGCGCTCCTCCGCGCGCGCGCCCTGCAGACCCGCCGGCACACCTCCCATCCGTTCTCGTCCGTGCTTGGCGCGCGCGCCGCGACCGTGCGCATGCTGTGCATCGCAGCTTGGGTAGTGGTGGTCGCCGTGCTTGCGGGGGGTGGGCGGTGGGCGTAGCTGCGCATGGCGTCCCCATGCGGCTCTATCTCCGCCTCCGCGCGAGAGGAGCGCTCAGTTCGGTCTTTCAACTGGTTTCTCTCCTTTTTCTGTCATCACCGCATCTCTGTACTCGCATCTTTTCCTCCCGCATCTGTTGTACCTACCACCCCCACATATTGCATATCACTCACGATTCTCCTGTACCACTCGCATATACTTTACGATTCACGAGCTGTATACGACCACCCGCTGCACTATCACACCAGCATCAAAGAAAATCAAGAGCACAAAACTTAGGTTCGAACGGGCTACTCCAGCGGACGTGGTGCACAGCGCACGGCTGCGATCCATTTAGGCTAAATCCCAAGAATTGAGCAGCAGGACGGGGTTCGACTCCCCGCGTCCGCCTTATATTGTTCTCATAGACTTTTTTGGTTGCTTCCTGGTTACGTGCGTAGTCTGGGCACACTAAAATGTGCGTTCAATCCTGCGTGGACTGCGTTATCCGGTTTATGACTTGGGCACCGTTGCGTTGGGTGACCGCTCGAACTGATGTCGGCGCTGCACTCTGCATTCGCAATCACACCGGCATCAAAAAAATCAAGAGCACGAAACTGGACGTATTCAGGGCTCGAGTGGGCTCTTCCAGCGGACGTGGTGCACGGCGCACGGCTGCGATCTATTCGAAGAAATATTCATGGATTGAGCAGCAGGACGGGGTTTCGACTCCCCGCGTCCGCCTTATATTGTTCTCATAGACTTTTTTGTTTTCTTCCTGGTATCCTGCGCCGTGGGCTACATTATTCCATGTGCAAGCCAATTTATGACTTGCGCACCGTTACATTGGGTGACCGCAATTGATGTCAGTTCGCCTTTGTTTGCTTTGCAACAATGCCCCGTTGAATATTTGCATGCCATTCCGCCGCAAGATGGAGCAGGGAAAGCGGACGTGGTGCACGGCGCACCGCCGCGGGCAATTAGCCGTTTTAGTTTAATACGGCAGCCGAACGGGGTTCGACTCCCCGCGTCCGCCTTGCTCTGTTCTAACAAACTTTTTTGTTTCTTCCTGGTTACGTACGTAGTCTGGGCACACCAAAATGCCCGTTCAATCCTGCGTGCACTGCGTTATCCGGTTTATGCCTTGGGCACCGTTACATTGCGTGACCGCGAATTGAAGTCAATTCGCCTTTGTTTGCGACCATCACACGCTGCACTCTTCTTTCGCAATCACACCATCAAGAGCACGAAACTGGCGGTATCCAGGGGTCGAACGGGCTATTCCAGCGGACGTGGTGCACAGCGCACGGCTGCGATCCGTGGAAGGAAATTTCTATAGATTGAGCAGCAGGACGGGGTTCGACTCCCCGCGTCCGCATAGCCGCGTGCTTAGACTCTTTTTTTTTCTTCCTGGTTACGTGGTACGTAGTCTGGGCACACTAAAATGTGCGTTCACTCCTGCGCCGTGGACTGCGTTATTCGGTTTATGACTTGGGCACCGTTCCATTGCGTGACCGCAATCGAAGTCGGTTCGCCTTTGTTTTTTGCGACAATGCGCCGTTGAATATTTGCATGCATGCATTCCGCGGCAAAAAAATCAAGAGCACGAAACTGGAGGTATTCAGGGGTCTAATAGGCTATTCCAGCGGACGTGGTGCACAGTGCACGGCTGCGATCCATTGAGGCTAAATCCCAAGGATTGAGCAGCAGGACGGGGTTCGACTCCCCGCGTCCGCCTTACTCTTACCCTGTTCTAACAAACTTTTTTGGTTTCTTCCTGGTTACGTAGTCTGGGCACACCAAAATGTCCGTTCAGTTCTGCGTGGACTGCGTTATCCGGTTTATGACTTGGGCGCCGGTGCATTAGGTGACCGCGAATCGATGTCGGTTCGACTTTGTTTAATTTGCGACAATGCGCTGTTGAATATTTGCATGCGTTCCGCGGCAAAATTGAGCAGGGAAAGTGGACATGGTGCACGGCGCACCGCTGCGGGCAATTAGCCGAAATTGGACGTATCCAGGGTTCAAACGGGATATTCCAGCGGACGTGGTGCACAGTGCACGACTGCGATCCATTCAACCAAAGAAATATTCATGGATTGAGCAGCAGGACGGGGTTCGACTCCCCGCGTCCGCCTTACTCTTACCCTGTTCTAACAAACTTTTTTGGTTTCTTCCTGGTTACGTAGTCTGGGCACACCAAAATGTCCGTTCAGTTCTGCGTGGACTACGTTATCCGGTTTATGACTTGCGCACCGTTGCGCTGGGTGACCGCGAATTGATGTCGGTTCGCCTTTGTTTTTTGCAACAATGCGCTGTTGAATATTTCCATGCATGCATTCCGCGGCAAGATGAATGAGGGAAAGTGGACGTGGTGCACGGCGCACCGCTGCGGGAAATCAATGGTTCCAGTTTAATACGGCAGCCGAACGGGGTTCGACTCCCCGCGTCCGCCTTGCCCTGTTCTCACAAACTTTCTTGTTTCTTCCTGGTTACGTAGTCTGGGCACACCAAAATGTTCAATTTGCTCCTGCGCCGTGGATTACGTTATTCCATGTGCGAGACGGTTCATGACTTGCGCACCGTTGCATTGCGTGACCGCTCGATTGATATCGGTTCGACTTTGTTTTTTGCAACAATGCGCCTTGCATGACATTCCGCCGCAAGATGGAACAGGGAAATTGGACGTGGTGCACCGCTGCGGGCAATTAGCCGTTGAAGTTCAATTAGCCGTTGGAGTTCAATACGGCAGCCGAACGGGGTTCGACTCCCCGCGCCCGCATACATCGCAATCCGTCTTTTTTTTCGCCGCGCGCAGGCCGAGGGTGGATGAATGAATGGGATGTTTGGATGTATTGGATGTATTGAAGGCGGGTGTAGATCACCCGAGCACAGGCGTTCTGTTCCGGGCGTCCTGAAATGGAGGATAGAGGCGGACGGGGTGCTGCCTTGCATGATGATAATACGGAACGTTTAGTGATGGCCATAAATACGATACGGTCGGATATATGTAGGATATATCCAACAAATATGAATAGGATACGGCCTTGCGCGTCCTCTGCATAATACGATACGATATGAATACAATACGCGGGGTTCGGCGTATTTAGATACGGTCTTGAAGTTTTCGGCCACTCCTTGCTGGAATACCTGCCGGTGGATCACTCTGCTGTATAGCAACGGACTCTAAAGACCGAGCACAGGACCCCTGATTATCCCATGGGAGGTCAAAAAGAGTTTGTGTCCGCGCCGGACCTAGCCGGTCGATCCGTACGTATGGCCTCGTCGCTTGGCATGTTGTTCCAGTTATCCCGCCGAGGTCATCAGCGGGGATTCGCGACCGGAACCACGGAACTGCTCTCGGTAACCGAGTGCCCACACTCGCAATTCCGTACTCTACCCCCAATTAATATTATCTGTGGCGACTTTGTCCTTGTCCAGATGTACCGCCAATCGCTGCTGGCTGACATCTATGCCATTATCAACTGGCGCGCGCAGAAATATTGCAAGATTCCGTATCCCCTTCCGAATGTATATCCGCCATGCGCAGGCTGGGATTGCCTTCATGTTCAATTTTTTTCTAGGGATCGGATTTTCGTGTGGAACTCATCCCAGGGTACCTCGTCCTCACCTGGCTTACGGGCCGCAAGACGCAAGCGCTCAGGGTCGTCGCCATCGCCGCTCTCTCCGCTTCGCAATGAACACCGGTGGCACAACGAAACATCCTGGGATAACGATGGAAGTTCACCAAAGTCCGCTCCAACGCAACACTTATCGTCTATGGCTCTCCGTCCCGTATTCCGCCACTCGCGTGCCCGGCACTGTCACTCGCGTGCTCTGTTTCGACTGTCTCTTCCAGGGGCCGACAATCGTAAACCCACCCTGCAGCAGCGGGCCTGCGCGCTCACAGCATCGGATGCGGCCAACGCAGGGATCGCGTATTCTGGGCACAGCAAGGCGCGCCTGGGGGACGCGGGGACACATCGGATAGTCCCCCTAGACCGCGTTCATTCTGCACCGACCACACTGCAGATTCCGGAGGCATCGTGGTCAGTAGCACTGGTACCGTATAGCAGAGCGGTTGGATACGTCACAGCGCAGACGTTTGTCCTGAGCTACTTTGAATAAAACGCGGTAGCTGGGATTTCGTGTGTGACGTCGGCAATAAATCACAGTTTGATTGACTGTGCGGGCGAGGTGCTGTGCGGCGGGGGTGGAAATTATATTGGTTGGCTGTGAAAACATCGAAGCTTTGATTCGTTTAAGAGGAGGGTTTCACGGTGTATGGTTTCAACCAGAATTACGGCACAGATAATGTCCAGGTTGTCTACAGGCAAAATGTGCTGGATAGAGACAAGCAGCCATAGCGTATACGTACGAGATCGTATGCATGGGGCGACAGTAGGAAATGTATTGAGAGACACGCGGGTCGACGCCCACGCTCGACGCGATGTGATTGAGCGTCGTATGCCCGTGTCTGCGACTTTTCTCAAAATTTGTACGTTTCGGATATTCCCCGGCCTGCTGCCGTTCGCTTTTTTTTTGTCGCAAACGATTTTTGTCTCTGCAATGCAGACCAGGGAGGTAGATCCTGGGCTCTCTAGGGAATCCTACATGGGCGTACAATAAATAGATGCTACGAAAAAAAACGCGAGTGGTGTTACAAAAAAATGCGGGGGGTATAGGACATGCATGGTCCGGATGAAGGTAGTGAGTACAACAAAGGGAAACGTTTCGCGTGTTTATGATACATATGCGAAAGGGGTATCGTCGGTGCTTGGTTCCTGGAGTTGAGAGGAATGGAGGATACTACAAAACGAGTGAGGGTATTGCAGAGAATAGGCGCGCGCGTATCCTCGGAAAAATCAAAGATGTTACAACACGATGGGTATCTTGGTGAATTGGCGCGCGTATCTATTCGCGTCGTTGGCGGACGGGTGCCGGCTCCGTGTCTCCAGGGAACAGTGCCGCGAATGCCGTCGAAATGAGCCCCACCAACCGCGACGTCTTCGCCAGCGGTCCGCCCAGCAGGCGCGCGAGCCCCTGCTCGCGGATGATCGCGGGGATGTGGGCTTCGTGGTCGTGCGCCGCGGCGATGATCGCGGTGTAGCTCTCCGGGACCTCGGTCTGCACTATGCGAACGAGGAAGTCGATGACGCCTGCGTCGAGGAGCGCGGCTCTGTTGCTCGGGCCCCACGCGATGGCTGCGATCAGGCGCAGGAAGAAAAGGAGGCGGTAGCGGGATCTGAGGGTATCTGGATGGACGGAGGACCTCGAAAGCGCGGAGCTGGATTCGTTTGAGTCAGGATCGGAAGTAGAGGAGGGAGGGACACTGACCCGTGGTGGAGCATGTATTTAATTACACGCGAGAGCAGCTCGACCTTTTCATTGTAACGACTCCGCAGGAGGAAGACGCGCAACGACTGATCGTGCACCACTTCAAACGCCAGAGAGTTCACTAGCTCCTCTGTGGGAACCTTGGAAACACAGCCGACCTTGCATGCCGCAGGACTGCACTATCTAATCAGTCGGCATCAAAACAGGGCAGGCAAATAGACGCACAGGTTCAGAGTTAAATAGAGTAGTGATTCATCGTCGGGGACATCGCGTTCAGAATTCAGGAACAAGGCTTTTTCGCGGCAAGTGAACGGGGCGATGTCGGCGGTTGCTACCCGCGGCGTGATCCAGGTGGCGCAAATTGGGTGGCCGAGAAGGACGGGGCGGTGCTCCGGGTACGCAAGGATATCGAGCAGGATGGCGTTGCTCGCGGCGAGGAGGTGCCGACGGTGGGATGGGTAGTCCTTGACTGATTCAATTTCAGATATAATGTCCTCCTTGTTAAGGTCGCTCAAGGTGCGGATAAGCATCAGGACGTCGAGGAACCCCACATCAAGCACCGCACGGCAGACAGAGCCGCGGGTTCTGATCAGCTTTCCAATGAATAGAAGAAACGGTAAGATGGAGATGTTGTCCGATTTATAAGTTCCGGAATAAGCGCTTAGTAGAGGCGAAGAGAAAATCTTCCCGAGGCAGGGATTCCTGAATGTGAAGGTGAGCACAAGTATTACTGCGTGATATCCATGCTTACCACAAGGGCGCCAGTTGAATCAGAATCTCCGAGAGAAAAAGACGAAGCTCGAGGCCGTCCCAGCGGCAAAGAGCCCGTATAAGAAATTGGGTCTCGCCCATGCCAATCTGGCCGAGCAGCAGCCTGAGAGCCTTTTTGTTTATTTCCTGCCGATACAGGCCTTGCCTGAGAGCCAACATAAACGATCCTATTTTACATTCGTACGCCTGAGACGCACCTGGAAAACTCAAGAGCATGGGCGTACACGTCTTCAATCTTCGTGACCTCGGCGGCCTTCTCGTCAGGCAGCG